ATCAAATTCTGCAAACTCAAAGAAGACACCTAACGTGAAGATTGATATGAAAAATAATTTTTCTAGATGTGTGTGGGTAAGGAAATCTGATTTGAGGTGTCATAAGGCTTATACTTCTTTAGAAGCATGCACTAATGATTGTGAGTGTAGTGATGCTAGTTGCACTAAGCGATTGACAAGTGTTAAGAGCATTATACAAGGGAGAATACTACATTCAGGGGGAGTAAGACACAGAGAAAATTCAAGGGGAGTAAGCTGCTGAAGATGGTTCTAGGGTGTGAATTTTTTTAATTTTTTTGTGTCTTTGGCTTATTTTTGTCAAAAAGGGAGAGAACAATGTAATTTTTTACATTTTTGAATTTTTAGGATCTTTTGTTAGTTTTGCCAAAAAATGCCAAAGGGGGAAATTGTTAGGTATTTTTATTAGTTAGAAATTTATTGGCAATCTTGTAAAAATTTAAAAAACAGGTTCAAGAAGATTTCGTATTAAAGAAGAAGATTCAGAATCAGATGTGAAGTTAAAGATTACAGATAAGACATTGGTTGAGATTTGGAGAGATAAAGGATAAAGCATTGGCCAAAGGAAGATAAGACATTAGTTATTTGAATTTAAATGAGATTCTAGCCAGATAATATGGAGATTAAGTTGCTATTTTAAAGGAGTAATTCGGATTTAAAAAATAGATGTATAATCCGAATATGCATTGGTTTGTTTCAATTTGGTCACTACGAGATATACTTCAAAAGCATCATATTTAGATATATATATATATATATATATATATATATATCTTGATTTAAATTTAAAAAGGTTATGCACAATTCAAAGCCTTTAAAAGTGGTGAAACGTGAAGATAAAGTGATTAATGGATGAATTGTTTGAATTAGATTATCTTCACTTTATTTAAAGGTTTTATTTCATAGCATATGGATGTACGAATTTAATAGAATATCTCCAGAGAAAAAGTCTGTGAATTTGAGAGCTTATTACTGAGAAAATATTCAGAGAGACGTATGTGAGTTTTTATGAGTTATTGAGATCGTCCATCGAGAGAGGGATTTGTTACTTTTGGGAGGAAGCTCTGTCGGTTGAAGGGAGTTCGTCAGGTGAATAGAAGACGTGTGGTGCACGCTAAACAATTACTATGGAGATTCGTCACAGTGACGTCATTGTTTAGGAGGGAGTCCTTACGTGAATAAGTCCGTCCGGTGTCTGTGATTTCTGGAACATAGTGAAACTGTTTACTGTCTGGGCGTGGCCCCGCAGATGTAGGTGTGCGCACCGAACTGCGATATCATATTGTGTGTTCCTTTACTTTCTACACTTTATTTTGCTTGAGAAACTGAACATAATTAACCCGGATCTTAATTAATCAAGCCGTGTTCCAGACAATGTTCTAATATCATCTAGAACACCAGACGTAACATCAGATCTAACAGACATGATATCATAAATTAATGGCCAATATGATGATGATGATGATGATGATGATGATATATATAAATATATATATATATATATGTTTTAGTGTTTTAAAAAAAAAAAAAATACATGCTTTACTTGCTAACAGAATACTGGGAGATTGCATGCATAGATTAGAGGGTTTGAGCAATTAATAGCCCCAAATTATTTGTTTGGGAATCAGAAGCCAATCGCTCGTGTTTTCTCTTTTCCATTTGATATGTTGGAAGCTGTTATTGATATGGTTAAGGGTAGTTTTCCAACATCACAACGCGCATTGTCACACCAAGATCATCTAGCAACTTGAATGAAGGTTTGCTTTTTTTTTTTTTTTTTTTAATTCCATGACTTAAACTTTAAAGTTTCTACGAATAAAGGACATCATGATATGTAAAGGTGTACGATCTACTTAGAAAGATTAATATAGTACTCAATTAAAATCTGCTACAAGTACATTGGAAAGTTTATTTCGGATCAGCTTGATCATAGATGAATTGACATAAAACCATGTAAGATGTTGTTTCTACTAAGCTAACTTTTTAGGAATTTTATGCATGATACTGCATATTTCTGAACGACAAATTACATTATAATTATTTTAAATTAGATTATAATAGTAAGGTAGCATTGTACTAACATATATCCTAGGTAATATTGTGAATTACACCATTTAACCATTTTTCATAGCTTTTTGTCATAGCTCAATCTTTTTACAATCCGACCGTACAGCACTTAACACTTTCGCTATACTAAATTAGCCTTAGTAAACCCCTCAAAAACTTTGGCAAATGGCTGGAGAAAAAGCAAGAGAACAAAGAAAGAAAGCTTTGATGAAGGAAAGCTTACTAACTCGCGAAAGGAGTACAAAGTGTGGTAGTTCTCTTGGTTGGGCATAAATGAGGACCTTACATCCTATTTATAGGCCAAGAGGCCTTCTAATTGACATTCTAGAACTCTGTGTGGAAAGATGACAAGCTTAGAACATTCTAGTATGCTACTCATATCTAAAAACTACTACAACCCATTAGTACCTTACATGTATCTCAAAGCTTTTAGAAAGTTGTAGAATACTCTCAAAACTTCTAGAGACTTTCAATGGCTTATGGGGTCTTCCAGAGAGTTCTATAACTTTTTAAGGTCATTTTATAGTGAATTTCTAGAACATTACGGAACATTTTAAAAAGTTTACTCTTCTTTCAAAAGGTGTTGATTTCTTTAAAATGTTAAGAGTATTATACTTGATTAGAGAATTTTAGAGCCTTCAAACGAGTCACTTACGTGACAGTGGGGCAAAAATGCGCTATCCGAGACAATTTAGTCTAAATCACGAACTTGCTACAAGTATTATCTAGTTTTCTACCATGACACCATTTTGTTTCATGCGATGTGGATCATTTGATTTGCTTCTATTGGTGCTGAGCATTTAAAAATAGCATCGTAGAAAAAAGTTCGAATTTATAAAAATTGACCTTTCTAGTCACGGGATAATTATAGATTTTGACTAAAAAATAATGGCCATAAAAGAGATAATTACACATAGAAGAGATATATATATATATATATATATTTTAAATAATAACGTAAAAGAGGAGACAATTAGCACCATCACAACCAAAAAAAAAAAAAAGTACATTTTAACTAGATCGGCACTTACTAGCAGCTCCATAACGCACAACTGGCCTTTTCCCCACAGAATCAATCCATTATAGCTTCTTCTGAAGTAATTTTCACCATCATAATAGTATATATAGAGCTGTTATATAAGCTGTTTTTTTTTTTTCTTTCTTCTTCTTCTTCATTATGTAGATATCTATATATGCTATATCTTCTGTAATATGGATGCTCTGCCAAGATCTTTACGAACTTGATTTCCTTTCCCATAGTTTCGAATTCAACTCAGCCTACTTTTCCATCCTAAACCTCCAAACTCGAATTTTACTTTACCGGATAAACTCCCTTATTATTATTATTATTATTTACTTCACTTCTCTATTTCAACTTTTGTCTCCTTTATGAATCCTTATGACTTGTGGCACTTTCTTTTAAAACTCTCTAATAAAGCTGAATTAAAAAACTTTAAACGACATTGCGTTAACTATTCCATTTTTGGTACCTGGACACATGTGGACCTATTGTAAATGTTTGACAAAGAAAGTTAAAACGTCGTTGATGTGGGATCTATTGTCAAACTGAAAGGTAAGTACCACCTGAAAGCTGAGACTCCAACGGCTTGTTTTACAAGTGACACCATTTCTCCAACAAAAAAAAAAACCTTATGGTATAGTCTTATTTTTTTACCGTTAGATTAATTTTTTAACGGTCAAATATATAATAAGAATAATTCTAAATGGTGTGCTGTAAATTTTTTATACAACTGTACAAATCTTACTGTTAAAAATTTAATCTAACAGTTGAAAAATAAGACTCCACCAGTAGAATAAAAATAAGAGTTCCATCGTAGAATTTGCCATAAGTGTGCAACTTTAACGTTAATATTACAAATTAGGGACTTTCTCTGATGTTCCTCTTTTTTGGGAACAACAGTGTTCATTACTTTTTAACCATCAGATTTGTATCAGAATCAGTGTGTTATGTATATTTTTTTAATTTGATATAGTTTTGATTAAATTTAAAGGCTAAAAATGTGAGGAACAATGGAGAAACTCACCACAAATTAATGCCAATAAAATGTAGCAAACGGGACTCCATTAATTTAGCAAACTGCAAAAACACATACAAATGAGGAAGGGACTTCACAATTAGTAGCCTAAAACATTAAAATATAGGGAAATAGTAGAAAATAAGTCAATATGAAAAGTTTAAAAAAATATATAGGTCAATTTTTAGTTATAGAAGTATATAGGTCAATTTTTAGTTATAGAAATTAATAGGCTATAACTTGTCAAGTTATGGTTCATAACCAGATAAGTTATGGATAAACTTGTCAAGTTATGGACAATAACTTGCCAAGTTATGGTTTATAACCATACTAGTTATGGACGAAAACAATAATTTAGCCTATTTATTAACTTATGTAAATTATTAGTTTATTAATTTTAATTCATCTCAAGTCTTGGTCTATTTCCCTCAGCTTGCCCAATTTTTTCTTGTATTCTCCGAACAGTACCCCCCATGTGATCATGAAGATCACGCACTACACAAAGTCTATATTGGTACTTAAAAATTCAATCACCATAGTGAGTGTTATTTATACTTTCACTATTGCTTGGAGATGACACATAGATACATCATACATGAACTACAAGTAATAAACAAAAAGGAATAAAAAAAAAAAACTCCGTCCTACACTCTTAATTTCTTGAGTTAGCACCAAATACCTAACACAACGAACAAATATCCCTCTTACTTAACCACGAAAGAGATTGGTCATTTATAATATGTTTCCCCTTTCTTTTTTAATCAAAATCACTTTTCTTATAAACAATCCAAACCAAAGTAATTGACATCTCACCTTTCTCCCCTCTTTCTCTCATCTTCTCTCACAATTCCTCTCTGTTTCTCTTAAACTCAAAAGTAATATTCTAGTAATTCTGTTTTAACGTCGATGAAGCTCAGGAAACTCTTCCCCGCACCCAATCCGGCTACCAACGGGACCGACTGTACTTCCGAGTTCTGCGATCCCTTTGCCGACTTCTACTACCCACAATCGCCGCCTCCGCCGACGTTACCGTTACCGTCACCTCTCGCCGTCCCCGACCAAGCCGACCAAACTCACGGCGTTTCCTCTTCCGTCATCGTCCTCGTCACTCTCCTCGCCACCTTCTCCCTTCTCCTCGGCTACTACCTCGTCGTCGCCAAGTCCTGCCTCGGCCTCTGCAAGAGGAGAAGCGACAGCGCCAACCAGCTCGAGAATTATGATTCTCAATCAGACGGTGGAGATCATAATCACGAGGAGTTCGCGGGCGAGAACCGTGGCGCCGTCGATCATCCCATCTGGTTCATCACTACTGTGGGGTTGCAGCAGTCGATCATAAACTCCATAACGATCGTAAAGTACAGAAGAAGCGAAGGGCTGATCGAAGGGACGGAATGCTCTGTTTGTCTGAACGAGTTTCGAGAGGACGAGACTCTCAGGCTGTTGCCAAAGTGTAGCCACGCTTTTCACATCCCATGTATCGACACGTGGCTCCGGTACCACACCAACTGCCCTCTTTGCCGTGCGCATATTGTAAACGACACTAATAATGGTAATCGTACTGGTTCCACCAATATTATCAATTCAGATAATCCGGTGAACCAAAATGGTGGAGATATTGATCATCATGGTATTCAGGAGATCCATATGGGGAATTCTGAGAATGGAAATGCTGGTCAAAGGATTGACCAAGGTGTGAATGATCATTCTAATGGGAGTTGCGTAGTTCTGGAGAGGCGAAACGACATTAACAATGGGGAAATGGTGAGGGACAAGGTGAGGCTAGTGAGGTCTGTTTCGATGGATTCTTCGATTCCTTCTTCTTCATCGGTTGCGAACAAAATGCGCGAAGTTGTTCAAAATGGAAAGCAAGGTCTTCGAATGAGTCCTGTTGCTATGAAGAGGTCGTGGTCTTGTGGAGGGAGGTTTTTGTCTTCAAGACCAAACCAGAGACTGAACTCGCTTCTTCTTCCCTTGTAAAGTTGTTTTCCTCTTTTCTTTTTGCGTGGTAAATTTTCTAATTTGTGAGATGTTATAATAGTACTTGACATGTGCTCTCTGATCAGTAAGTTGAGAGTATGCCAATTCGGGGATTTTTTTTATTTTTTTTCAGTAGGTATTAATATACAATGCAATGCTACTAATAGCCAAGATGAATTTCGAAACGGAAACAGAATAAAGTTTCGCTTAAATTGAAATGCAGTATCCTATACTGCCTACTGATGCCTGAAAGAACAATGTCTATGATCATTTTTCAAGTGCTTTTATAGGGGACAACATTTTGTTTTCAAGTACTTTCTCTTAATTGCAAGATGGTTAACTTGTTATTCGTAACTAAAACCAGGAGTTATTGGCCGTATGATCTATGAGTGTCTTCATAAATTAAAATTTATTAATTAGTAGCTAAAGAAAACTTATTCTCCTAGTAGAGTAAAACAGCATGCCTAACTATTACAAAAATTTTCTTGTAAAGTATAAATTATATTTCCGTATAATAATTAAACCAATTTGAAATGGGTTTTTATTTGCAACCCTTTATTAATTTAGTGAACAAAGAGTTGGTAAAAGGTATGAGTAAAGTGTCATAGCCTGTTTCGGGTCTAGTATATTCTGAATTAGAAAGTGGTTGCAATTGCACCACCATATTTGCCTCATCAACAAATGGAAACTCCCTGTACGATTATAATTTTTTTCCCTCAATGGTAAAAATGAAAGAGTTTTTATTTTATTTTATTTTATTTTCACTGTTATCATTGGCAGGCTGATAGCATTCCCTGACGGGCAGGTCAACGACAGTCTTTCTGTGAAAAAAAAAAAAGCAAAATAAATTAACAAATGCGTGAACGTATGAATTTTTACTCTTGATCATTGTCCTTTTCTTTCTTCAGACATCATCAATTTTATTCACTTATCGTTCTTGATGATGGAGACAAAACATAATAGTTCAAATGCTTACATGGTATGTTAGTGAAGCCATTTGGGTACGTATATACGCAAGAGTGAAATACGTACCTAAACTAATTTACAACCTCCAATGAGATTGATTTACTTCCATTGATAGAATTCGTCTCAAAATCGATACAGCACGACAGGGGCGTGAGCCCTTATCGGAAAAGAGAAAACTCATTAAATTAGTAGTAATTCAAGTTTGAGTACTATATAAATATACTCTTTTTTTTTTCCCCCTAAAGAAACGTGTACTATTCTTTTATCCAATTTGTCTATTTCCATTCTCTGTGTTTCATTTTTCTAATTTAATTTTCTCAATGACCTAAACAAGTTTGGTAAGTTTGGTACCACTTCCACATCTGCTGAGGGTAACCCTAGCACGTAAAGTCTGGAAACGACAAAATGACCATTAATTAGCCTTTTAATCTTCAAGCCCAGTTCCTTCCTTTAGACTAGAAGAGGAAGGAGATCAGGGTTTTTTTTTCTTTTTTTTTTTTTTTGTTATAAATATACATAGAAAATCTAGAGGAATCCATAAAAAAAAAAAAAGAGGATCAGTTGCTCATGCTGCAATAAGAAAGACGGTAAATGTTAAACAAAACAAAACAACAGGATATCAAAATAGAAAAAGAGGGTAATTTAATCGACAAAAACAGAAAACGAAACGATAATGACTGTAGTACACGGCATCCGTTTGGTGAAACGACAGCAATATGCAAAACGACTCAACCGAGAAAAACAACACGGCATCGAATATCGAAAACGACCATAAATCAAACACGAAAAACGATGTGAAAACAAATACAACCATAAAGAAAGCGACAATAACTTTAACTACAACATGTATGTTGCAGGCGAGAACAATATGAAATACACACGCGACAACATCAATCCAACATAATCAGCATCGTTATAGGAAACGACGGTGAATTAAAACGACAAAAACTGAAGAATACACACTCAAAAATTAGAAAACGACAGTGACTATAAAATACGATATCTCCCCTAAAAAAACAAAAAAAAACGATATCACAGTTTTGAAACGACAATGAGATTAACGCAACAACAACTGAATAAAAGCAATATGACATAAATGTATAAAAATAAATAATATATGAAGCATCGTTAACGAAAACAACAGTGATGAACAAGAAAAAGGACAATAAATGTCATATACGGCATTAACGTGCTGAGACGACAACAATACCAATGGCGTCAACCTATAAAAAAAATACGACATCAATAAAGAAAATTATGAAAAGCATCCGACCCTTCAAACTTTTTAACCTCCGCATGTGGGTCTTTATTTTGAAATTTTAGACAACTTAGTCCCAAAACTCCAATTTTTTTAACACTTGCGTCCTTATTTTGAAAGTTTAGACAACTAAATGCATTAGTAGATGGTTCACATACCTCTACATAATTAGTTACTCATCATTATTTGCAAAAACAAAAAGAAAAGGGGAAAAAATGAGCATAATAATCAATGTCAAAGTTAAGCTTTTGCGTTCTTTCATAAAAAACAGCTGTTGGGGACTTGAGACATAAATAAATCCAAAGTAACGGAACCAAATGATAATGGATAAAAACAACAGAATCCTAAAAAGAAAAAATAAGTACAAACAACAGAAGTAAAACGACATTACAATGACAATATAAAACAAGCAAGAATAAGCAACAGCACCGTAAAAAATTTGTTGGGCCAGAAAAACGACAACATGTAATAAACGACTACAATCAGAAAAGATGTGAACTTTAAAAAAAACACCTACCCAGAAAACCACATCATCCTAAACACTTGATGAACCTCAAAAAGCGACTAGATATAACTGGATAAAACAACCAAAAAGAAAAATGATAACCAAAAACGACATTTTTTTTTTCTGTTTTAAACTTATATTGTATTTGTCACACGCTAGAAAATTTTCTTCACTGGATTGTGTTATTCCGTTTATTTCTCGAGCAAACAATAAATGGTAATGAGAATGAGAATGAAAATGATAATGGTAATAGTAATGGAATGAAAAAAAAAGTTAATTTATTTATTTAGTTGTAATTTTAAGAATACTAAATAATGGAATATGAATATTTTTGTGTTGACAAAATTACCCTTATGTTACATATAACATTAATATTTTATATATCAATATAATTAATATAATATACAAAATGTAATATAATATAATATAATTATTATTATATAATATATTATATAATTATGATATAGAATATAATAATATTATTAAAATAATAACTGAAATAATTAAAATAACAATTATATTATATTATACAATAATATAATATATATAATTACAATATAATGTATATTTATTATTATATTTAATATAATACAATAAACTATTATTAAATAATATATTATATAACTATGATATAGAATATAATAATATTATTCAAATGGTTAATATAATTACAATATTATAAAA